ATGGGCATTAAGGAGGGCACTTGTGATGAGCACTGAGTGTTATATGTAAATGATAAATCACTAAATTCTATGTCTGAAACCAATATTACGCTATATGTTAACTAGAATGTAAATTAAAAATTGATACAAAAAAAGTTAGCAAGAGTTAGCAAGTTATCAAAAATCACATATAAAGAAGAACTAGAAGTCATTTTATGGGCTTTAAAAAAATGGACTTTTATTGGGGACATACTACATGCCAGGCTAGTGGCAGGCATTGAGGACACCCAGAGCAGAACGCACTCCCTGTCATGCCACAGAATATTACAACACAGGGTCTCATGGGCTCCCCAAGAAGGTGAACTGAACATGTAATGAGGTAAGGGCTTCTTTGAGAAGAAGCTTGGTCCTGATGGTGCATGACTGGGTTATCTGGAATAGGCATGATGGGTGGTAGAATCTTCTATAGAGAGGAAAAGGACTGTGCAAATCACAAGCCACTTGGAGGAATGGAAAATGGCTTGGTGTAGCTGGAGCATTCGGTGTGTTTTGGTGACTGGCAAGGGATGAATTTGGGAGGGATGCAGGGGTTCAGATTTTGATTTGAAGGTTCCCATGTATTATGATAAGAGTTTCCAATTTCATTCTGACATCAATGAGGAGGCAAAACGGTTTTTAAGAAGCAGAATGCCGTGACTGGCTTTGCTTTTCAGCAAGATGATTATGTTGTGTGCCATAGGAGGCTGGGGCAGGGAGACTGGTTGGAGACTGTCTCTGTGATCCCATGGAGGAAGGCCAAGGGTGCAAACCAGGGCAGCAGCAGTGGGACTGGAGAGGGAAGGAGAGATTTCTGCTGGCCAGAGAACTGACTGGCTTCTTGAACAAACTGATGTAGAGGGGGAGAGAAAGGAAGGAGGCTATGAAGACATCCTGTTTCTGGCTTGGGCAGCTGGCAGGATGGAGGTATCATTAACAGAAATAGGGAAAACAGAAGGGCGAGCAGATTTTGTGGGGGAAGATGGGGAGTTTGGTTTTGGATGTGTTGAGTTTGAGATGCACATGGGAGAGTCAACCAGCACTGTTTAGCAGGCAGACATATGCAACAGGAGCTCACCTGGGAACTCTGGGTGAAGTGGAAATCATGGCTATGGCTGAGCTTTTTAAAGGAGAACATGTTCAGTGAGGATCCAAAGGGCCATGGATGCTGGGGAACACCCACATTTAAGTAAAGGACCAACAGAGAGCAGGTCAGCAAGAAAACCAAGAACAAGTGGACCAATATGTAGGAGGAGCACCGAGAGAGTGAACACAGAGTAGGGCAAGAGATCTGTGGCCAAGACTGACTCAGTGTCCACCAAACTCATCCCTCCTTTCCTGGAGGCACAAGAAAGCTCCATTTCCCAGCCTCCCTGGATGTAGGGAGGGCCAGTGACTGGGGAACACCTGAAGAACGTGGGAGAAGGTAATGTGCAATTAAGAGCTGGTCTCAGGCTCTTTGCCTTCCCATCCATGATCCCTTTGGAGGTTGTATGTACAAGAACCCTGGAAAGTACTCAGATTTTGAGTTTTATTTGTTACCATAGCAGAGCCCAGCCTATCTTTCCTGATCCTGGCTCTGGAGTCAGATGGCTATGTTTGAATTCTGTCTTTACCTCTTGCCAGCTATGTGACCTTGAATAAACTGTTTAATTTCTCTGTGCCTCAGTTTCCTTATTGGAATAACACTATAATAATAAGTAACAAAAAATATGTTTTAAATAAAATATATTTAAATAAAATATAACAATAATATCTAACTTGTCATTGTCTGAGGATAAAATGAGGTAATAAATGTGAAGCACTTACAACAGTATAAATAATTTAGAAGTGGTAGAATCTAAGGGAGAGAGGAGAATGTCAAGAATGTGAAGATGATTTACCCCTGGGGTCAGCAAACTATAGCCTGCAGGTCAAATCCACTGTGCTGCTTGTTTGTGTATAGGCTCTCAGTTTTGGGTTTTACATTTTTAAATAGTTGAAATAAATCACAGGAGGAGTACATGGAGTTCAAATTTCAGTATCAGTAAATAAAGCTTTACTGGAACACAGCCAAACTCATTTGTTTATGTGTTGTTATGACTGCTTTTCACAACAATGTGGACTTTGAATAATTGCAACAGAGTCCACAGGGCTCACAAAGCCTAAGGTATTTACTACCCTTTATAGTAAAAGTTTGGTGAATAACACACAGCAAAGGTCAAGAAAGTTAACTAAAAAGTGTTAACTAGAATTGACAAAGATCACCAATGACCTTGACAATGGCTTTACTTGGAATGGTAAAAGTAAAAACTAGATTCTGGCTAATCAAAGTTTGTTTCCCAGCTCTGCAGCTTGCTAGCTGTGCAGTCTTGGGAAGTGTCTTAACTTCTATGAGGTTCAATGTCCTCTGTTGTAAATTGGGGATAAAAGGAGCTACCTTCTTGAGTTATTTAAGGATTGACAACAATGCATGTAAATCATAAAACACAGTGTCTGGCTTATAACAGATGCTCAAAAAATGCAAGCTCTTGCTTTATTTAATCTGCTACCACCAAAATTTCTGTTCCTTGATAGGTAATGCCTTTTTGCTTTTAATATTCTATTTTTGTCTTCTGTGTTCTGATGTTTTACATTATATGCCAGGTTTCTGTCAGATCACACCTCTTTAATGAGGCCATCCTACTTAAAACTATAATCTGTTCCCAACCCCAGCATTCCTGACCCTCTCACCTTGTTCTACTTCTTTTCTCATAGAATTTACCACTTCCGACATCTGGAGAATTTACTAACTTATGTTGACGTTTAGTATCCGTCTTCTGTACTAGAATATAAGCTTCTTGCCTATTTTATACAATTACATATTTCAGTTATCTAAACAATACCTGGCATATATTAGGCGCTCAATTAGTATTTGTTGAGTGACTAAATGATGAGGTGAAGAGGTGTTTTTTTTGTATCTTTTTTTAATCTTGCTCAGAACTGGATGTGTTCCTTCAATCTTGGGATTTGTGTCACTTCTCATCTCTGTAAAATTTTCAACTATTATCTGTTTAAATAATAAAATAAAATGGTAACTAAAAGGGAGCCCCTGTTCCATCCTCTCCCATTGTTTCCTGGAACTCTTTTTTGAATATGTTGGCCCTACCATTCTATCCTCAGTGTCTCCTAAGTTCTTTCTTACATTTGACAACTATTCAGCTTTCTGTTTTATTCTAAGGCAACTTCCTCAGCTCTGTCCTTAGGTCTCTTTTCAGCTATGTTTTGTCTGCTATTCAACCTGTTAACTAGGTTTTTATTTCAATGGCAATATTTTTTGTACTTAGAATTTCTATTTCTTTCCTTTTCCTGCCTGCCTCTTCCTTCCCATTCTCTCTTGTACTCGTTTCATGGTTTCTTCCTTTTATCTTCTTGAATATTTTAAGTATTCCTATATTAAAAATTCTTTCAGACTTTCCTGTTCTCTCTAGTTCTTGAGGGGTGTGAAACCTTCCATTTTTAAATCAGCTGGATATCTTATAATGGTTCATTTCTTCATCCAGCCTGTAATTTTGGATCATGAGCTCATCTTCAATAGTGGTATTTAGAATCTGCCTCTGATAGAGTCTTAGGGGCTGGCAACTGAAAAGGCTCCTAAAATGTACCACTGAATGGCCTGTATTTGGAGGCTGAGTTAGGAGGCAGTCTGGTACAGATGTGAGGAAATGTGCCCTAAGTTCACTTCCCCACTGTGAAACTATTTTTGTAATGGTGGGCAACTTGCTCTTTGAGTCTTAATTTTCTTTATCTATAAAATGAAGATAATAATCCCTATATTCTAGAGATGTTGTAAGTAATTAGTGACATAATAAAACTAAGGAACTCAGCACAATGTTTAATATATATTAAATGTCAATAAATGTTAAAAAATAGTATAGGGGCGCCTGGGTGGCGCAGTCGGTTAGGCGTCCGACTTCAGCCAGGTCACTATCTCGCGGTCCGTGAGTTCGAGCCCTGCGTCGGGCTCTGGGCTGATGGCTCAGAGCCTGGAGCCTGTTTCCGATTCTGTGTCTCCCTCTCTCTCTGCCCCTCCCCCGTTCATGCTCTGTCTCTCTCTGTCCCAAAAATAAATAAACGTTGAAAAAAAAATTAAAAAAAAAATAATAAAAAAATAGTATAAATACATAGTACTTATTATATCACTTGTCAATATTTTCTCCTTGCTTTGTGATATAAAAGAAGAAACCCAATGCTCATGAAAATAGCTTCTGAATATGAATATGAAATGTGTAGCCAGCCATTACATTTGGACACTGGTTAGATATGCTTTATCTGTGACATATATTAGTTGAAGATGGGAGAAAAAAACCCTTGGGAACACATTCACTTGGCTTTCAGCCATCACAGAGCAACACTGATGAGCGGTAGAAGGAATTTTCAGACATTATCCTTTTTTTTAAACAAAAAGCCTAATTAGAGAGTCGGAGCACTTGCCCAACTATTTTGGATTATTAAAATACAGCAGTGGGGGGAGTTCTGCTGAGAGGAAAATGACCCAGATAAATTTCTCTAGTTTTATTAAAATAGAAAATATAATTGACTTCTTGGCTGTGTTGTCCTTGGTCATTAGTCCTTTTCAAAGGTTAGAAATAGAAAAGCAGAACCCTGAACCTGTAGCTGATACTCAGTAAATACTGTTAGTTCATTATTGGAAAGGGATAGAGACACAGACAAATTCTTGGACAAGAGAACCTCACACAACCTCATTTCCATCTCATGTAACTTTAACCACAAACCTTTCCTTAATTAATTGCTGTTTTGGAACTGTCGGGAAGGGAAGGCTGAAAGGCCAAAGTTCGTGGACAAAAGCTATAGGTTAGTGTGATTTATCATGAAATATGGTATTAGTTATCTGTAAACACTTGAAAAAATGATTTATAATTCTAATTTTCATAAAACATTTACAAAGGCTAAAATTTAAATTTAAAACCATTTAAAATAAAGAGATATTTTCAGATTTTAATTACCTGATCTTCATAATCAGAACCTGTATCAATGGTCTCTCCTGTGTCCAACATCATCGAAGGATCAAGGTCACCCGAACCTAAGATTTGAAAAGAGAAGTTTACCTGATGAAGGTTGTCTGTGTATGTTTGCAAAGCAAACTATCTCCCACTAGGTTTCTGTTCTTATGTGTACATTAAAGTCACAAACATTTTTAGACACTTCCCTTCTGCTGGGCACCATGTTTAGGCTCCAGATAAAAAATGTAGATCCTTTAGACACCATTTCCACTCTTGAGAATAAGACAGTCTTGTGGAGGAGACTGATTTGTCAACAGCAAGGTTCAGAAACCAAAATGAAGAGCTAATTCTGACTAGTAGTGGAGGTGATGATGGAGGTAAAAAATAATCACAAGGAATTACTCTATAAGCCTTTACTTTGAAGGTGAGTAAAGATGGTCCAGGAGGAGAAGTGGTTTAGGGCTGTGTAGTAGTAAATTAGAAGGAATGATGAGCAAAGTACAGAGTGGGTATAGCAAGGGAGTTCCAGTAATAAGTGGGGCTGAGTTTGCTCACTCCATGAAAACCTGACAAGTTTTTCCTCCAGCCTTTGGGTCACTTGAGTCCTTAATGATGAGAAAAATCTTGTTAACTTAATGTGTTAACAGAGAGCTTCTCCCCTGCCCCTCCCCAAGGGCATTAATCCTCAAGGCTCAGACTTAAACCGGTAATTTTCATAATGGGGCTCCTGAAGCAAAACTGATTTATCATCCTTGTTTAGTGATTGTTTTCTGCTGGGAAATACATATCACCTAACTAGCCACAAAGACAGAATCCAGTGCTGTTCATTAAATGCTATACATCCCTATGAAGAAGTAAATGACTCCACATATCCTGGTAAACTTGCCCTTGCCAAATAATTCTTGGTCAGAAGACACAATGAGTTATTTTTAATGAAGACGGATTTTTACAAAAACATCAAGCATCTCACGTGCTTCTCAGATATGGGCCATTCGAGAGATGCTGCTTTCATACTTTTTTCCAAAGAGTGATTCAATATATGTCCTCACACACTCTTTTCTCATCTCTTCTCTTCCTTTTCCTTCTCATCATTACCTCTGCTATTTATCAGATTGACTAAGGACCGACCCATTATCATATTGTCTAAGTACTAAGCAAATAACACCCTTGTTTATTGCGTTTGTATCTTTACAATTTTTTTAAAGGATGACAGTTTTTCAGAATGGAGATGCTTGACCCATCAAAGAATTTTGGAAAGGTAACTAATTGTGGAGTTTCCACATTTGGTTGCAGAGGTTTGTAGGGCACAACCTCTGGGTGATGCCATCACATCAAGAGGGCAGCCCTTGCCAAGTCCATCATTAATAAGGTAGTTGCCCGAAAGGAGTCAGGAAGACTACATGCCAGTATTAACGCTATTAACAAAGTGAGACTAGAAGGGCCATATGAAAACTTAAATTTTATACATACTTTTATTTATTTATTTTTTTAAGGCTTATTTTTGAGAGAGAGTGAGAAAGACAGAGCGCACAAGTGGGGAAGGGGCACAGAGAGGAGGACAGAGGATCTGAAGACGGCTCTGCGCTGACAGCAGACAGCCCGATGTGGGGCTTGAACTCACGAACTGCAAGATCATGACCTGAGCCTAAGCCAGATGCTCAACCAACTGAGCCATCCAGGTGCCCTATATATAATTTTAAAAAGTAGTGGTGTTACATGCAATTTTTCTATTTTTATGCCTTTGCCGTTTTTCAAATAAGAAATGTTATAAGGTATATCTGAGGGCCAAAATATTTGACTGTACTGAAGCCCAGTTTGAGATCAGTTTGCACTTATGTGTTGTGGGGCAGTTAAGACGTCAGAAGTAAATGTGTATTTTTCCATATAAGATCGTGGAAGTTTTAGAACCCATATTTCACAGAATACTGCCATCTCGTTTTAGAAAAGAAAACAATGAGCTTTGCAGAAGGCAACAAATAACTTGGGCTAGGTCCTACTGAAAGTGAGGGAGATCAAAGGCAGAAGTTGTAGCTCCCATTTCTTCCAATACATCCTTCCCACTCACTCCAAATGCAAGCAGGAGCAATCCAACTGGTTTTACAAATATGATCGTTCATTACAGTACCCTACAGGACAGGATGTGGAGGAGTTGGCTGCCTCTTTTACATCCTGAGAAAATGAGGAACAGTAGACGACTGGTGATGAGGTGGCTGCAGAAATGGAAGAACCAGAAGTGGAAGCAAAGAGTGTCACTCCAGCCTGTGACGATCGATGCTCGTTGCTGGGTGGTTGCTATTGACAGCATCATTAAAGGTAATGCCAATTTTATTTAGCTTTCGTTATTTCCATAATATGGATCTTACCCACCACATGGAGAAGTGGTGACAGGTACTTGGATTCAAATGATATCCTCACCTCAGCTGTATTTGGAGTGATTCATGTGGAATGAGCAATGTGATCTGAACACAAAGGCTTATTAAACATATAGACGCTTTAGTTCCTGTGTCCTATTTACTTTGTTCAATTAGAAGCCTTTCTTTCAGCTGTTTTAAAAAGGTACAAAGTGAAGGGCTCTTAGACAACCTGGTTAACAGGTATTACACATGAATATTTGTAACCAGAACAAGATTATTAGAAAACTATCTTCGGTGGGGCGCCTGGGTGGCGCAGTCGGTTAAGCGTCCGACTTCAGCTAGGTCACGATCTCGCGGTCTGTGAGTTCGAGCCCCGCATCAGGCTCTGGGCTGATGGCTCAGAGCCTGGAGCCTGTTTCCGATTCTGTGTCTCCCTCTCTCTCTGCTCCTCCCCCGTTCATGCTCTGTCTCTCTCTGTCCCAAAAAAAATAAATAAATGTTGAAAAAAAAAATTAAAAAAAAATAAAAATAAAAAAAAAAGAAAACTATCTTCGGCAATGGTAGAATGAAGACATCTTTGTCTGAGGGGAAAAAAAAGAAAAAAAAAAACCTCTTTAAAAAAAACAAATTTGTGCTTACAAAGAAGAAGAGCTCGGCTTTCCTAATAAAATGCTTTTAACAGAAATTTTATTGTATCATTAAGAGATGGAATTTCTTGACATGTTGCTCTTGGCAACAGTACTAGTAAATCATAGGAAGCGATAGACAATGGATGTCATTATCCACTCAGATAATAATTGAATAGCTTTTTTTTCCCCTTTCTTTCTTTCTTTTTCTTTTCCTTTTTTTAGCATTGGTTGCCTGGCTTGTTCAAAATGGGACCTTTAATAATAGTCTAAGGTTTGACATACAAAAGAGAGAGGTAAATATAGACATATTACACATTTTTGCCTTCTTTCATTGGACAATTTAACACATAAAACACCTGCAATGATCTTGTTACTCAAAAAGGACAGCAAAATCAGTGCATTCTGAAAAAGTGATAGTATGGCTTTTACTCCCCCTTAGTTTGAATTTCTCAATTTCTTTCAGATTTAAAAATATTCTTTCTATAGATACAGAGCTGAAAGAGAATCCCACAGGGAACTCTCAGTGTCACCAGTTTCAGATGTAGAATGGTCCTCAGAAAGATGATTTGCAGGTTGTCTCCCTACATTTAAGATGGAAGATGATACAAACTGGCCGAAGATGAACCAGAAGGCTATCCACATTGCTTTCTGGGGCAATGTTACAGACTTCTCTGCTCCTAGAGGATCTTCAATCTGAAGTTTTAGGAAGGTCCCCCTCCCACTCTGAATCCCAAATAAAGGGATGTCCCTGCAAGGCAGCACTTCTTGTGCAGTGAGGGGCATCTGTAGATAGAGCTCCTCTAACTCATCACCCACCCTCTGAGAGGAAAGCAGTCTTCTCCCTTGTCCTGTCTCTCCTGCAAGACCATAAGCAGCTTTAGGTGGGGTTGTATTTCATCTCTACATTTAAGAACAGAATTTAGAAATTCTACGCATTTGATACATGCATGCTGAATGACTGAAAAATGAGTAAAAGGACATTTACATTTTGCTTTTGCAGATCTTGATCTCCATTCACTCTACACACATTCAATCCCTTCTAAATGCCTCAGGCGTCAGGCACCAAGAGCCCAGCTCTCATTCTAACAGGCGTGGAATGTGTTAGTAACAGTTTCCGTTAGCATTCCTTTGAAGAGCATTGCATTTCTTTGGAAAAATATCCTGACAGTATTTGTGACTAGACAGTGAGCTCCTCATGGGATATGGTGTTGGGACTGTTCTGGGTGAGAAGCGCAGGGGTGATTTTCCAGTTACTCCATGACAGAGGCCGGGGAGGAAGGAAAAGAGAGAGGGCAAAGAGATTAGAAGTGGACCTAGGAAAATGGGGAAATGTATTGAATAAGATGTGGTCTCTTCCTGTGATGCCTCAACCCCTCAGCAAAGACACTAACTCATATATAGCCTTTTCAATGTGACAGCCACACACTGTTATCCATGTAAACCATTTGCTCTTCACAAGGATCCTGAGGTAGCGCTCTTATTATCCACTTGTTACAGATAAGCAATCTGAGGTCCACGGGGATTGGGTGATGCCTCTGAATGGCTCTGCCAGAGTACGAATGGAGGACTCTAGGGACGAGGAGAGGCTGCAGATGGGGTGCACAGGTCTGGGGAACGGCATTCTACGGCATGGAGGCAAGCAAATGCTCACTCTGCTCTGGAGTCAGAGAAAACGTGGTGTGGCTGTGAGTCCACACACTTAGACGAGTAGCCCAGCCGAGGTGATCAGCCAGTTGAGAAAGCACTTCTGTGCCGTCTCCTATGAGATGCACACTGGGTATCAAACAAATACACATACTCTCCATCCACACACAGTCTTGCACTCTAATAAAGGAAATAGAATTTTTTTGTTTTATTTTTATTTTTGAGAGAGAGAGAGAGAGAGAGAGAGAGAGAGCGAGCGAGCAGGGGAGAGGAGAGAGGGGGACAGAGGATCTGAAGAGGGCTCTGCACTGACAGCAGAGAGCCTGATGCGAGTCTTGAACCCACGAACTGTGAGATCATGACCTGAACCAACATCAGATGCTTAACTGACTGAGCCACCCAGGTGCCCCAGGGGAAAAGAATTGTAGCAAACAATCATATACATGATTATATAATCATAATTGTGATAAACAGCCTGCAGGAAAAGTTTAGGGGATTATGCCAGGGTCTAAATGGGTCTGGGATGGGGGCTGAGAATACCTCCAGAGGAAAATCACATTTAAACTGTGATGCAAAGTAGGGTGATGGAGGGGCTAGGGGGTGAGATAGGAGAGGGGATGCACATGGGGGAAGGGATACCAAGCAACCAGTGCAAATGGCTAGAGGCAGGAAGGTGTTTGAGACATTCTAGGGACTGGAGGAGGCTGGTGGGGTATGGGGGAAGCAGTGCTAGGGCAGGAGGAAGGCCACTGCAGCAAAGCTATGGGTATATCTGTCATGCTAAGGACACTGGTGCTCAGCCTGCAGGGAAGTCATTGAAGGTTTTGCTTTGCTTTGTTTGTATTGTTGTGTCAGGGAGCCAGGGTGGTCAGAGCTGCATTCTGTCAGGATCCCCATGGCAGCAACAGGATTCAGGGGTGAGGTAAGAGGCCGGCAAGGAATGACAAAGCCCTGCCAACTAGAGTGGGGATAAAGAACAGGGACTGCACTCCCAAGGTGTCCCTGAGGAGTGATGACTGGTGTGGGCTGTGAGGACAGGGACAATTTTGCCTGGCTCCCTTAAAAGAGAAAAACTGCATGATCTCATTTATACGTGGAATCTAAAAAAGTCAAATACATTGAAGCAGAGAGTGGAGCAGCGGTTACCATGGCATGAAGGTGGGGGAAATGGGGAGATTTTGGCCAAATGGTACAAAATTGCTGATATGTAAGATGAATAAGCCTAGGGATGTAATGTTGATAGCATGATGACTATAGTTAATAACACTGTATTAAGTACTGGAAATTTGCTAAGAGAATGTATTTTGGGTGTTCCCATTACACAGAGGAAAATGGTTAACTATGTGAAGAGAAGATACATTAATTAGCTTAACTGTAGTAGTCACTTCTCTGTGCATATCCATGCCAAATCATCATGTTGCACATCTTAAATGTATAGAATTTTTACTTAAGTGGCACGTGGGTGGTTCAGCTGGTTAAGGGTCCAACTCTTGATCTCAGCTCAGGTCACGATCTCATGGTTTGTGACATTGAGCCCCGTGTCTGGTTCTGCGCTGTCAGCACAGACCTGGGATTCTCTCTCTCCCTGTCCGTCTGCCTCTCCCCTGCTCGCACTGTCTCTCTCTTTCAAAATAAATAAACTTAAAAAACAAGAATTTTGATTTGAAAAATTTTAAAGGAGAACGGAAAGCCATTCACATGGAGGTGATATGGGGTCTGTGGGGCAGCTGAGACTCGGCAAAGAGGGTCCAGGGAATAGGGAAGAGTACAGGGACAAAACCTGGGGACTGACAATTCACAGAGCAGTGGCCATGGACATGACCTGTTCAACTGGGTGAGTCAGCAACACTGACAAGCCTCGAGATTTCACCTACAGATGCAGTCTTCTATTCACTCTTGAAAGAGAGAAAGATCCAGCAACAACTGGTCCATGCCTTAACGGCAACAATAACATGGAGCTTCAGAGGGGCTGCCTCTGTAGGGGAGGCATCATGTGTTTCTAGTTTACCACGGTCCCTCCCAGGATCACTTCATCACCAAGGGCTGTTATATATAGAACAGGCTTATTTTAAAGCTGGAGCAGAACTCAGCTTTCAGAGTTTGGAGGAGTGGGTGGGAGGTAGTAGGAGTTGAGACTGTGAGCAGACTCCTTCCTCGTTCATAAGTTTGGAGGTATAGAGAGGAAAGATGGAGAGATGAAGTCCCTGGTGACCTCTGCTATGGGGCAGGCACTGTGCACTTGGAGGACATGGCACCTGTCCTCAGGCAGTTTACCGACTAGCACAAAAGCCAGCACTGCTGCATCACTGGAGGACGAGGCCACCTTTCAGAAATGCCACTAGAGAGCCACAAAGTGTCAAGTGTTCTAAAGGAAAGGGCAGCTTAGAAGACGTGGAGAAAAAGGAGCCCTTGCACTGTTGGTGGGAATGCAAATTGGTGCAGCCACTGTGTAAAACAATGTGGCGGTTCCTCAAAAAATTAAAAACAGAATTACCCTATGATCCAGTAATTCCGCTACTGGGTATTTACCCAAAGAATACTAACTGGAAAAGATTATATGCACCCCTATGTTTTTACAGCATTTTTCCCCATAGTCAAATTATGGAAGCAGCCTCAGTGTCCATCGACAGATGAATGGACAAAGATGTGGTATATATACACAATGGAGTATTACTCAGCCACAAAAAGAATGAATCTTGCCATTTGCAACAACATGGATGGATCTAGAGAGTATTATGCTAAGCAAAATAAGTCAGCCAGAAAAAGACAAACATGTGATTTCATTCATATGAGGAATTTAAGAAACAAAAGAGATGAAGAAAGAAAAACAAGAGGTGAACCAAGAAACACACTCTTAACTATAGAGAACAAACTGATGGTTACTAGAGGGTAGGTGGGTGGGGGGATGGGTCAAATAGGTGAAGGGGATTAAGAGTACACTTATCATGATGAGCACTGAGTAATGTATGGAATTGTTGAATCACTATGTGCACACTGAAAGCAATATAACCCTGTAGGTTAACTCTACTGGAATTAAATTTTTTAAAATAAAAATAAGGGGCACCTTAAATCAGCTCCTCCACTCCACTGTCTTAACAAATGGAATACCTAGCGGTTAGATATCTCTTGTTAGAGGTCTAAATAAATGTTCTAAATACAATATTGACTTACAAAGCATGGCTGCCATAGCATTTTTCAGAGCAGTAGCACTCTGGTTTATATGATCTTATATGCTGCTCAATATTCAGTCTTTCCAACAATAGGCCATCTTACTATAAGTATCACTGGAAAACCAGGCAGGTGAGTTTACATTGTTATCTGTGCTCTGTGGGTCTGCCCAGAAAGATCACTGCCTTGACTTTCTTTGAAGCTACTCTTAGGGGGCTTCAAATCAAATATGGGTAAACATTTTTCATGTCACGTTTAGTCTTTTTCTGTACAGCCCAGAAGTTTTTTTGTCCTTATGGCCTGAGAAGAAAGTTCAGGACTGAGACAAAGATTTGAGAGTCATCTGCATAGTACTGATAGTGGAGACCATGAGGGACAATGAGTTGACCAGAATCAGACAGTCAAAGAAAATGAGATAAGGGTCAAGGACAGAACCTTGAGTACTGCTTACATAAGGGTGTGTGATTGCCCTGCACTATTGTCCAAGGTCGAACTTCTAGGGGTGAATGCTTAGGAAGAGAAGGCACAGAGCCAAAACAGGAGCTGTGGGTTGGGAGAGGAGCAGCTATCTGACAGAAGGGGAGGCTTTTCCCAGGGGGCACAGCAGAGACATGTCAGAGTTAAGGAGTCCTGGAGGAGTTGTAACTTTTAATTGTTGCACAAAGAGTGGGCTAGATTCGACTTTTTCAATTATAGTAACACAGGTCGTGTGTTACATTGGGACTGCTTGCTAATTTACATGTGCAATGACTGGAAGGCAAGCATTCACTATAAGGGCCAAATGGATAGTCCTTCTTTTCTATTTTGTTTTAGCCTTTATTTTCAAACCAGAGAGTGTAAAGCTCTGAGAACGGTGTCATCCTTAAAACCTTGCAGCAGATTGTTGAGCTCCAACATTACTACAAAGCTCCAGACAGTTGGCAGGTGATCAGGCCATACTGTTGCCCAAAGGACATGGTGACTTACCTGCTGCAGCTTCTTTGTTTGGAAATAACTTGCTGTCAACTGCCACACTGATGTCATAGAACACCTCATCTTCGTTTCGGTCAGCATCAAACTGGGGGAAACAGGACAGACAAGTTGGGAACAAGAGAATGCATAAATTAGTTCATTCCCAAATATAATGAGCAAGCATCATATAACTGTATCTCTAATGAAGCAGGTCAACAGGAACTAAAGCCCTTGAGTCTTAAACAGACTCTTGGAGGATTTTTCAGTCTAGACCACACATATCAAACAAAGAAGGAGGGAGTCAGTGCATTTATTTATTTATTTAAAGATTTTTTAATGTTTATTCACTTTTGAGAGACAGAGACAGACAGAGCATGAGTAGGAGAGGGGCAGAGAGAGGGAGACACAGAATCCAAAGCAGGCTCCAGGCTCCTAGCTGACAGCACAGAGCCGATGAAGGGCCCGAACCCACAAACCGCAAGATCACCACCTGAGTTGAAGTTGGCCCCTTAACAGACTGAGCCACCTAGGTGTCCCTACAGTCATTTATGATTAAGAAAAATGTGTAGGATTTTCGTAACTTATAAAGTAAGCTTTGGAAAAAAATGATAATTGAAATTTACCTTGTGGCTTTTGGCTCTTAGGGTTTTTGTTTTTCATTTAAGAAACCCATGAGGGGTGCCTGGGTGGCTCAGTTGATTAAGTGTCCAACTTTGGCTCAGGTCATGATTCGTGAGTTCGAGCCCAGCATCGGGCTCTGTGCTGACAGCTCAGAGCCTGGAGCCTGCTTCAGATTCTGTGTCTCTCTCTCCCTCTGCCCCTCCCCTGCTCGGACTCTGTCTCTCTCTCTCTCTCTCTCTCAAAAATTAATAAAGATTAAAAAAAATTTTAAACTCATGAAAATACGGAGTTCTAAACAAGAGCGGAGGGGGGGATTTTCTAATGTACTGTTAAAAAAAAGAAAAAGGAACGTGCCCCCAAACCAAACTTTAGTTACTATACTAGATACTATAGCTACTACACAAAAGATGTAGTCTGTAGACACCATAGACTGAGATGTAATAAAAATGACAGATTTAAACATTTTACCATTCTTTAAAATTTACAAAAAATGTAAATATTGAAAAAATGCAGTTATATTTATAAGTTCTCTATTTCCCAGTTGTGCAATGGTTTTTAAAAATACACTTTAGTACTGAGTTATAATCAACATATAATAAACTGTACATTCAGATCAGTAAGTTTTGACATCTGTGTCTGCATACCTGTGAAACCATCATAAAAGTCAAAATAGTGAATATAACTATGTCTTCCAAAAGTTTCCTTGTGCCTCTTGGGAATGAATCCTTTCCTCCTGCCCCCCTACCTGGTAATCATTGATTATATGTCTAACTATAGATTTTTTGGCATTCTCTAGAATTTTATATAAAAGGATTTATACAGAATGCAATCCTTTTCATCTGGGTTCTTTCACTCAGCCCAGTTATTTTGAGATTCATCAATGTTGTATCAATAGTTCATTCCTTTTCATTGCTGAGTAGTATTCTACTGTATGGATACACTGTTCATCTCATCCTGGGTATCTTTCAGCTCATACATTGTAGCTTTCATCTCTAGATGCTTAATTTGAGTCTTTAAAAAAAATCTACGTCTCTATTGACGTTTGAAGGTCTCTATTGAAGGTTTGAACATCTAAACATCTAAAATACAATTATAACAGTTTAAAAAACATGTTTACTTATTTATTTTAGAGAGAGCAAGGGATTGTGAGTGGGGGAGGGGCAGAGAGAGAGGGACACAGAGAATCCCAAGCAGCCTCTACCCTGTCAGCGCAGACCCCCATGTAGGGCTCGAACTAATGAACCCTGAGATGATGACCTGAGCCGAGACCGAGAATCAGACACTTGGACTGAGCCACCCAGGTGCCAAAATATAATTATAACTTTTAATGTCCTTTGCTGGTTCTAACATCTGGTGTCAGTTCTGAGTTAGTTCTGATTGATTTTTTCCCACCATTATGAGGCATTTTTCTTGTTTTTTTGCATGCTTGGTAATTTTTATTGGACGCCAGGCATCATCATTTTGACTGTGTTGGGTGCTAGATATTTTTGTATTCCTATAAATATTCTTGAGCTTTGTTCTGGAATGCAGTTTAGTTACTTGGAAACAACTTGATTCTTTCAGATCTTGGTTTTAAGATTTATTGGGCTAGCCAAATATTTGCTAGAACTGATACACAAATTCAGTAAAGTTGCAGGATACAAAATGAATGTATAGAAATCTGTTGCATTTCTATACACCAATAATCAAGTAGCAGAAATAGAAACAAACCAAGGAATAAATCCCACTTACAACTGCACCAAAAAGCATAAGATACCTAGGAATAAACCTAATCAAAGAGGTAAAAGACCTGCACTCTGAAAACTATAAAAACACTGATAAAAGAAACTGAAGATGACCCAAAGAAAGGGAAAAACATTCCACACTCATGGATTAAAAGAACAAATATTATTAAAATGTCCAGATTGCCCAAAGCAATCTGAACATTTAATGTAATCCCTATCAAAATGCCACCAGCATTTTTCAGAGTTAGAATAATCCTAAACTTCACATGGAACCACAAAAGACCCTAAATAGCCAAAGCAGTCTTGAAAAAGAAAAGCAAAGCTAGAGGCATCACAGTTCCAGACTATAAGTTATATTACAACACTGATGCAGCGATGAAGACAGTATGACACTGGCACAAAAACAGACACATGGATCAGTGGGACAGAACAGAAAACCCAGAAATGGCTTGATAGCTATATGGGCAATAAATCTTCAACAAAACAGGAAAGAATATCTAATGGAAAAAAGTCTTTTCAACAAATGGTGTTGGGAAAACTGGTCAGCACATGCAAAAGAATGAAACCAGATTACTTTCTTATACCATACACAAAAAAAAATTCAAAATGGATGAAAGACATAAATGTGAGACAGTAAACTGTCAAAATCTGAGAGCAGAAAACAGGGAGTAACCTCTTTGACACTGGCCATAGCAATTCCTTACAAAGTATGCCTTCTGAGACAAGGGAAACAAAAGCAAGAATAAACTTTAGGACTTCACCAAAATAAAAAGCTTCTGCATAGCAAAGGAAACAATAAAACTAAGAGGCAACCTACTGAATGGGAGACAATATTTGCAAATGACATAACTGATAAAGGGTCAGTATCCAAAATCTATAAAAAAACTTACCAAACTCAACACCCAAAAAGCAAATAATACAGTGATGAAATGGGCAGAAGACATGAATAGACATTTTTCCAAGGAAGACATCCAGATAGCCAACTGACACATGAAAAGATGCTCAACATCACTCATCATCAGGGAAATACAAACCAAAACCATGATGAGATACCACCTCACACCTGTCAGAATGGCTACAATTAACAACACAGAAAACAGCAGGTGTTGGCAAGGATGTGGAGAAAGGGGAACCCTCTTACACTGTTGGTGGGAATACAAACTGGTGCAGCCATTCTAAAACACAGTTTGGAAGTTCCTCAAAAAGTTAAAAATAGAACTACCCTGTGACCCAGAAATTGCACTATTAGATATTTATCCAAAGATATTTATCCAAATATACTGATTCAAAGGGACAAATGCATCCTGATGTTTATAGCAGCATTATCAACAATAGCCAAATTGTGGAAAGGGCCCAAATGTCCACTGACTGATGAATAAAGAAATTATATATAAATTATACATAAATTAAATTATATATATATATATAACTCAGCCATCAAAAAGAATGAAATTTTGCCATTTGCAATGACGTAGATAGAGCTAGAGAATCTTAAGCTAAGTGAAGTAAGTCGGTCAGAGAAAGACAAATACTATTTCACTCATACATGGAATTTAAGAAACAAAACAAATGAACACAGGGGGGAAAAAAGAGAGGCAAACCAAGAAACAGGCTCTTAACTATAGAGAATAAACTGATGGTTACCAGAGGGGAGGTGGGTGGGGGATGGGTTAAATAGGTGATGGGTATTAAGGAGGGCACTTGTGATGAACATCTGGTGATGAATGTAAGTGATGAATCACTAAATTCTACACCTGAAACTAGTGTTGCACTATTTTAACTGGCTGGGATTTAAATAAAAACTTGAAAAAAAGAAAGACTTGTTGGGTTGGACCAGAGCAGTGTTTAGTGTACAATTATTCCCCACAGTGGAGGCAAGACTCTTCAAAGTACTCTACCCATTGCCTTGTGAATTAAGAGGTTTTCCAGAATGGCTGGTAGAAAAAGGCACTATTCCAAGCCTGCTGTAGCACCAGCTAATCCTTTTGGGTGGTTTTGTCTCTCAGCTTCAGGTAGTTTCCTCAAATGCATACACTGCACAGTACTCTGCTGAATACTGGAGGGGAACCCTTATCATATCTCTAGAGTTCTCTTTCGGTGTAGCTCATATGTCTGGTACTCTGTCCTCTGACCTTGGTCTCTTAGACTCTCAACTCTGTTCAACCCATTTGGTCCACCATTCTCCACAAGGCTTCCTTCTTCCTGCTGAGTAGCCCGGTAACTTCCAACAGTAAGAGCAATCCTAGGGCTTTCCATGTTTGTTTCCTTTCTCTCAAAGAATCACCTTATGGCTTGTTGTAAGGTATCTTGAGAATTGCTTTTTAAGATTTTTAAATTTTTCTTTGTTCGTTTGTTTCAAGTGGGAGGGAAAATCCAGTTTCTTTTATTTTATCTGGGCCAGAGGTCTCAGCTCTTTAGCTTTTTAATCTTAATTAGTATCTTGAAATATTTAAGAAGAAACTAAGCGATTTATTCCTTTATATTCTCCTACTGAAGTGTTTCATCATTTTTAGCAAGGGAAATTTTAAAAGCCTGAATTAGAAAGTTATTTTTCTTACTTCTCCTTACAGTTAAAGCACCTCTGAATGGTGCTTCAAAGTGCTTTCTGTACGTCACATCAGCCCATGGGAAAGGTGAGGCAGATAGTTTTCTTTCTATTTTACAGGTGAGGAAATATCTACTCAGAGATATTATGACTTTCTCAAGTCAAACAGCTAATAAGCTGAGCTAGGATTTGCACTTCGGATGACTGACACTTTCC